CATGCAGGGTGTATCCTGCCTTGCTCCAAGTCCATGCAGGTTATTTATTTTTAAAGACTAAATGGCTTTTATGATCAAGATGATGTGCAGAGGTGTTCCTACAGTGTAGCATGATTGACAAGGGAGTGTACAGTTTGCTTTGTTTGCCCTACCACAGAGAATTCACATTTGTATAGGCCCTTACAAAGCCACCTCACAGTCTGTGTGCCAAGACCGGACATTTGTGAAAGTTCTCAGTTTTTAAAAGTACCCACCCCAAAGTGACATACTTTATTGGCAATATGAGCACAATTCTTGAAATAGGTGTAACATCTGTAAGCATTCTTGTGCAGCTGTCTCTTAAGGGCCGGTTTGTGTTTCTGTAATGCTGTCAGTTGCCAGGCCAGAATGCCCATCGCAGAGCCCAAGTACTCGAACGTGGCTTCTGGAGCTTTTGGCCCCGGGCACATGAACATTGTTTGGGTTCCATCTTCTTTGCCTAACAGTTGCCCTTGCCTTTCTTCTTTTTCCAAATGAGAGGATGTTCTGTTTTCTCCTCTTCACTTAAAAGCTGACAGCTGGCGTATTATTGTTCTGTCGACTAATCTGTGAAATGAAGGGCTTGCTGCTTCCTGTGCCGTGAGGATATAGTTGGCAGCTTCTGATGGATTCAGGGTTCTGGTCAGGTGACCGACTTGTCTGGATTGGGGTTCAGGGGATCGATCTAGCTCCTTTCCATCGGGTTGGTCAAGGCCTGAAAGTGGGCTTCATCTTTATCGGTTCTGGGTGGTTCAGCTGCAGATATTCCTTGACATATTGTCTCAGCTGCCTCAAGCACATTCTCGTATACTCTGTCAGAGAGTGTCTGATGACAGTTTCTGGTTTTAGTCTAATCCCCTTGGTTCCTCCAGACATTTAATTGTCTGTGTGTACAGTTTCATCGATGATCTGATCCGCTGGGATCCTTCAAAAAGGGTTTCTGGGACTTGGCTGCACAAGGAACGAACACTTTGAGTGAAATATGTGTGTATCTCTGAATACCTAATAGGCATCAAGGACATTTGTGCAGCAAGGTATTGTGGAATCAATCAATTTTAGCTAAAGTACATCCAATTATCTGAATGTAAGAACAATCTCAAAACACTTTTATCAGTAAAAACCCTTGCCTATCGTCTAAAAAAAGACAATTAGCTTTTTCTTTCGATTGGAGTAGGATAATGACGATTGAGTCCACTTATACCAATATTGACTTTTTGTTTCTAATTGCAGGAGCACAAGATTCATTAATTAAAATGGCAAGCTACTAGGAAGGTTTCAGTATATCAGTCTAATCATATTCATCCTGCAAAGAATTCAGTACTCATCGTTTTACTTCCCTGTGTGGTATCAATATCAGCTCTGACCAATGGACTATCAGTTATGCTACAACACCTTATAACACACCCGCACTGTCACAATGACGCTAACTGGTACATTTATCATGAAAATATGTTGGAAACACCCGCAGTGCCATTAAATACAGCAGCTACCAATGTCATGGGATATGATTTTCCTGGATAACTTCCAATTTTGTGGGGTGTAGTTATCCTAGTAATCCTAGGATTTTTCTTCCCTTCCCACTTTTCACCCTAAAGGTGTCCCCACTCCCACTGTAACAGCAGGAGAAAACACACTGGGCAAATGTGCCAAATTCAGGGTAAATATCCAGTTCTCGATGTCAGTGATTTCTAGTGCTGGTCCATGGAGACCTCGGTGACTTGTTTTCTATTCCATTTGAGCTTGATTGAAGCCTACATTGAATTTGTTGAATTAAACATTTACATTTTTAGCTCTAAAATGTCTTGGATATCTTTTAAAAACTCTCAACTCATTCTAAATTGAAAATAATTTTAGGTGGTTTCATTTGTCAATTGTTAGGTCACTTGAGGCCTTCATTTAAGCTCAGCAGGAGTGCAAAACAAGGATTTCTGAGGATGAGGACCTAGAAAGACCTTATCCTACATCCCCCAGCCACTGTTGACACTAATGGAGAATTATTTGTTCTCACGTGGGAAGGAGATGACTTCGCTCACATGAGGAGACAAGAGGAGAGAACACGCACACAATTGAGGTGCAATTGGAATTCTAAAATTGGCAAATATACCTCCGAAGGAGAGGTTTGGCCATGACGGCACTCACTGACCCGTCCAGCTGAACTTCAGTGAAGAGAGATAGCGATAGAGGGACAGAGGAGTTTATTTGCCATATGTATATGTGCAATGGGATTCTAATTGGCACTGTTCTCTCAGGACACGAACAGATTGGGTAGACGATACAATACAATTGATAACACCACACAATGTTGACAGTACCTTACGAAGTAGTGCTAAATAAAATAAATAATGATAGTATGAAAGGTGTTTTAATCTTCTGCCAGTAGTCGCTGTCCCTGCAGAGCTGAGAGTGCAGTGCATTTGTGTTGATGGATGTGAAAACGGAGACTGTTGCCATGGTGCTTTTGAGAGGAAGAGAGAACAGAGTTTTGTTTTTAATGTCTGAGGGAGTTGGGATACTTGCTTTTGGCAAGAGAAGAGGTGATATAGTTGTGAGAACTGAAAAGGGGACGTTTTTGGGCCACCTTGAGTCTGTTATTATTACTTCATTATCACCCTGAGACACTTGTGTTTTCAGTCATGTTGTTTTTATGAATGGGTGCCCTGTGAGTAAAATGTTGATTCTTGTGTAAACAGGCTCTTTAATAACTGTTTACCCCCAACTGCAGGCTTAATGAATCCCCAGAAGAGACAAGGGAAAGGGGGAGATGCACACAGACGGGTATTTACAGAATACCCCCTAACCACCTGTGGCTGGCATGGACGCTACCTGCTAATGTAATACTATATCTGCTGTCTTCCGTGAATTTCCTCAGGCTGCTAGATCATTCCTCAGGCATTCTGAGGGATTGACTTGTCTGGGACACCGTTCTCCTGTTGCCCGCAACAGCACCTTTGTTTTAATAGTATTATTAATACTATACTTGGTATAAGTATAGTATTATATGCAGGATGCTTAGTAAGTTAGTTGATCTGTTCAAACAGCTGTATCCTACAACCTGTTCGGCGTGGAATGAAATACAGTACATCGCACACACATATGGGTTTAGGGGAATTTAGTTCTCTTAAACCAGAGGCACAAAAGTTCTTTGGGTCCCTGCCGTTGCAAAGCTTTGATCTTTGCAAAGAACTGATTACTATTAGTTAGTTGACCCACATGATGAAGATAACTTTAGTCATGAAGGATTACCTGGAACAAAAGTTTGGATACAAGAGCCTTCTCACACTGACAGAGCTAGCCACCCTGGCTCTGTGTGACAACCATGGTTTGTTTGTATGGAGGGACATGGTACACCTTTTGCACAAAAGTGTTCAAAACTCACTGTCATGTTCCATTGTTAGATGATTTATCTGGAGTGGATATCTGTGTTAAATGGTGCCCAGTTTGTTTGCAAATTTCAGGCGCACAGTTGCTTCCTCAGCTGTGGAACTCTCATACTGGCTCAGGAAAGATGAAGACCACATTACTAAAAAATACGTCATCATCATCTGCTTTTTTTGTATTGTGAGCTGCAGGGCACAAATAATAGGGCTTTAATGACAGAATGACAGAAGGACGACTGACACTGAGATCCTAACTGATATGTAATGCCAAAAACTCCCAGGGTCCAGACTAGTCCTGTCCGACCCCACAAATGCAGTACAGTCAAGTATAGCACCAGCTGCCATCAGTGTTTACCACAAAGGCAAGCCATTAGTCTAATAACTTCCCATTGGAGCTATATAATTTCCCAGTGTGGGGTGAAGCTAACCCCCTATTGAAATTGTTTAGGTCCCTCTATGTGGTAACTAAAAACAACCACATGGTCTGATTCCGCGCAGTTATTATTTTATTTTTCTGTCTGGCCCCCTTTCTGTGGTTCATCCATTATGGGACAATACAGCTTCTTCTTTGTTGTGCTGTCAGCCAGCTGATTGTGGGTTTGGGAGGGAGGGGGTGTTTAATGTTAAACTGTTTAAACAGTTTAAACAGTTTAACTAAGGAGTCAGAAAGAAGATGACTCTTAACTATCTACCAGGGAACATCACATTTACAGCAAGGGACAGAGAGAGAAAGAAATAAGCAGAATGAGCCGCTGAGAATTTTCTTCAGATAACTCTGGTCAAGGCAAGAGCATTGTGTGTAGTGGGAGGCTGCTGTGTGCCCCAGACTGGAGGGTCATGTTTCAGTCTGCTGGTCCTCGGTAAAGAGGAGAGGCTGATGGAGAAGCCAGCCTTACCTCAGGCACTGGGGCTGATACACGGCCTCATGGAGGACAACGAGAAGGTGCCAGCTGTGGAGAACACCTTCTCCTGTCTTCTTTCATTCCCATTCTGACTGATGTGGGAGTCTACAGCGTCTCGCAAAAGTTATCAGAATGATGCCAACATGTTTTTGCAAACCTAAATGCTCAAATTGAATAGTTTGAGGGGGTAGGATAAGTCTTGGTGAATGTAAGCAAAAGCTAAAAAAATAAAAGAAGACAGGTGTCGATTGCCTATGTATTCAGATACATGATCCCTGTATTTGGCAGTAGTTCCTGGCAGATTTTCTCAAGCTCTCTTTACTTGCTTGGGGATCGTTTTATCAGCTGCAGTTTTCAAGTCTTTCCACAGGTTGTCAATTGGCAGCAAATCAGGACTTTATATGTGCCAGTCAAGGACATTTACTTACTTGTTTTTAAGGCACTCCAACGTATGGATTTTTGTCCCAGTTTTAGGTCAAAAGCAAGCTTTCCTCTACCCAGTATTTTGCTCCATCTGTGTTCCCATAATTCCCAGCTGATGAGGAGCAGAACTTTAACATAATGATGCCACCACCATTCTGGACAGTAGGGAAGGTGTTGTCTAAGTGGTGCACTATGACCAGTTTGTGTCATATGTAACGTTTTGCATTTAGACCTTTGCAGTTTGTAAATCACTCTGTCAAATTCCTTCTCCCTCTCTCAGGTAAATCCCACCTGGCCATAGTCCAGAAGGTGAACAACGAGGGGGAAGGAGACCCCTTTTATGAGGTGCTGGGGCTGGTCACACTGGAGGACGTCATTGAGGAGATCATCAAGTCCGAGATCCTGGACGAGTCTGACCTCTACAGTGAGTCTGCACATACAGTACCCTATTGCACCATACAGTTTGTAGATGAACACAATAAATTAGAAATATATACAGTCACTCCTACACAGACTATGTGGTATAGTACATGACAGCCCAGTACATAATTTTACCTGTGTGCATACATCCCACTCTGAGATGTACCAGTTGCTGGTGCACTGTAATGTAGTGTAGCAGTTATTTTACCCAGTAGAGAGTAATGTGGTGTGGTATGATGCATGTATGATGAGGTGCCATGCAGCAATGTTCAGTGACAAGCAAGACGTGGATTATAGTTCTTCAGAAGGTGGGTATGCTTAAAAGCCCATCTGCATGGGGTTTAGCTTTGCACCTTAAATACGCCTGTGTCTTGAAGTTCCTGTGAGATTCCTTCATATCGGCCTCTGTTTGGTGTAGCAGCTGTAGCACTCTCGCAGGCCTAATGTGTGGTAGAGTCCACCAATGCGAGGCTGTGCCAAGCGCAGCGGTGTGCTTCCTCGCACACTGGCTCACATTGCTACATACTCCCCCGCCTCGCCTGTCTCCCCAGCCGACAATCGCAATCGGAAGAAAGTGACTCCGAACAAGAACAAGCGCGACTTCTCCGCCTTCAAGCATGAGAGCGAATCAAAGGTCAAGATATCGCCTCAGCTGCTGCTGGCCGCCCACCGTTTCCTGGCGACAGGTGAGTGGGAGTTTCATCCACGGAGAGAAGTGCCGTGTTGTAAGGTCTGGCAAGTACTGACACGTGACGAGGAAGGAAAAACGGGCAGAAAAGAGCTAATTAAATAATGGATTTGAATGGCTCTATAATTGGAACAAAAAATCAAGCTGATTACTGAGGAACAGACTAAATCCATAGCCAGCCCTCTCTCATTGTATGTGCATGTGACTCACACCTCTGTGACTTCCCTTCGCCGGCCAGAGGTCAGCTTGTTCAGCCCGAGCCAGATCTCGGAGAAGGTCCTGCTGAGGATCCTGAAGCATCCCGACGTCATCCAGGAGATCAAGTTCAATGAGAGCGACAAGAAGTCGCCCCAGCACTACCTGTACCAGCGTGGCAAGGCTGTGGACTACTTCATCCTCATCCTGCAGGTATCGCCCCCGCACCACGACACTGCCCTCTAGCTGGTGGCTGGTGTTGAGACCAGAGGGAAAATCCCTTGAGCTTCCCACCCAACGGGTGTGTCTTGAGGTGGAGTTCCAATAAGGGCTATTTTTAACTGGCGTGGGGCAAGAGCTTTGCTTTTGCCATTGCTTTAACTGCTGTAATAAACGTCAGAAAACTGTTGGGAAACAATGGTTAACATTTTTTACCTTTTTGATGTGTGTTACACACAGAAGAGACAGGCTAGGCTATGAAAATTAGTCTCCTTCAGCTGTGAATTTCCATTTTACAGAGTGCCGTGGCATGACTGCACTGCGCAGCAGTTTGGCTTCAGGTCCTAATGTGCACATTTATGATGAGCTGCTCTTATTTGTCCTGTGGTGTTCTTTCTGCTTTGGCCATTAATTGCCTTCCCCGCTGTTATCCCTTTGAAAACACCTTCAGAGAAAGGTTCCTTTCCTGCACCTGTGCCCGGGAGGAGCTCTTGCTGTGGGGGGGGGTGTTGAGGGTTGGTGTGCCCGGGCAGCAGTGTCCTCAGCAAGGGGTAGGATTGGCCCAGCTGGGAGCTGCAGCTCTGGCCTTTACTAATTGATCCCAGTTATATAAGAAGGCAAGCGCATCCTGCCAGGAGACTGTGCATCACAGCCTTAATCCCTCAGCCCTCACCCCCCTGCCTGTCCCGCTGAGACACACGCACACTCAGCCTGCGTTTCCTGCTGTCTGCCGCACCTGGTCTCCGGCATGCTTGACCCTACTGGCCCCTGCTTGAGTGTGGTTCATGCCGGGCCTGACCACAGCTATGGTGGACAGTATGCTCTAGTTCTCCGAGGGAGGATGACTGTAGGATTGTGGTATGCTACCATTCTCTGTTTGTTCGACTCCGAGCTTTGTTTTTTTGTTGTTTTATTTATGTTTCTATCCCTTGGCATAAATACAAATACATACATATACAGTAACTGTGGGGAAGCAATAAAAAAGACAAAGTGCTGGCATGTACAGTCAGCACTGTAAAATTTCAGTCCTGGGATGTTATGTTAGTTAGAATATTGTGTACAATTTAGTTCACAATGTTATAGCAGCTGCAGCTCACAGAACTTTTGCTGCTCTGGAAAAAGTATTGCTGCTCTGGAGTCCAGAGAAGAGCAACCACATAGCTTCAGGGTTAAAGAAATGTCCTACACTGACAGGATGAAAGACCTGAACTTTTTAGTCTTGAACAGAGACGACTGCACGGGGACCTGAATCAAGTATTCAATCTCCTCAACCGTCATTGACAAAGTAGATGTAGACTTCAGAATAAATGGTGAGATATGAAAACACGCCAGAAGTGGAAACTTTATGGAAGAACATTTAAAATGGAAAAACAGGAGGCTCTTCTTTACCCCAAAGGTTGTAGGAGTATGTAACAAGCTGCGCAGCCTTGTTGTTGAAGTTGATCCCTGGCCTTTTGTAGGAAACAGCGGGATGAGACTCTTGGATCATTTAGCTGCTACCAAAATGGGCTAGTTGGGTGAATGGCTGCCTTTCTTGTCACTGTTCTTATGCTCTTTCGTCCTTAGCTGTGTTTGCTTTGCCTCGATACTGTACATGCTGTATTTCACTCAACATTAGGCATCTGCTGCATGCACTACAATAACTTGAAAAAGTTCAGGACAAGGCATGATTCCACAGTATGATACATTTCAGCTATGTTGTGGTTCATTGAAATAGTGGACAACAAAGGTGATTGTTGCCAGGTGAACCAATGCATTCCTTTCATATTCTCTATTTTCCTTTTGAAAAATACCATCGTAAGCTGTGATAGTTGTTGTCCTTTCTTGTCTGTGATATACAATAGAAATGGTTGCATGGGGGTGGTTGAGGTTTAAGTCTGCAATATTAGTCTGTCTTCAGGCTGGATTTAAATTTTCTATAGTCTTATTGTGCAATTCAGTTTCTAAAACTGAATTGTGATACCATATTGTTTTTTCCCCTCTAAACAGCAATTAGAGAGAGACAGTAATCCTGCCCTAATTATGTAGAATTACCCCTGCTGTTTTCTCTCTCTGTCCTGAAACCCTCCCTTCTTCATCTTCATAATCAGCACTGCATGGCTAAAAGTCAGGACAGAGATGAAGACACCGTTAACCCTTTTGATGCCCAGCTAGAAACATGCCCAGAGCGAGCTAACCAGACAGTCAGAGCTCATCCTTTTCCTGCATTTTGTTTAATCCACAACGTGGCTTAGGTAGTTCATCCCTTGAATTGAGTTTTCCCCGCTTAAAACAACAGGGTGTTTTCTGGTATTGGAGCAGTTTTTACCTGTGTGATTTGCATTCTGCTTGCAGATCTTGTTTTGAAATAATACCTGGTATGAGTATTCTGATGCCCTGTTAAAATGTTAAGCACATTAAGTAGACGACCTGATACCTGATTTAGAGAGGGAATGGGTTATCTCTCTGTTATGGACTGTCTTTCTGTTTGTCCATTTCTCTTAAGTCTTCTGTGAGTACAGGGCGTCCCATGTATTTTTAGCACAGTAGTAGATGGTTCCACTTAACAAGGGCAAGGAAAAATGTTTTCTCTGTTTTGTTTCCCCAAAGGAAATTAAATCCTCTTCATGTTGCATCATTGCCTTTAAATAATTCGGGTCCAGTGGCTCCAGTGAGTATTTGGTTGCCAATTGGACGAAAGCTGACTGGAGCCTCTCTTATGTGTGATGCTATATATAGAGCTCATCTGGAACACACAAAGGGTCACTTGTCAATTGTGTTTTTCCACAAGTTATTTGAAGCTGTGCGGTTGGCTATCCTGTTGTGAGCTCTGCGATCCCTTTGCAGTTGGTTCAGTACAGAACACGCTTGTTTGAGCCCCTGTGCTGGCAAGCAGCCTCATCACCACTGTCTTAAAGTTGAGGAGGAGGAGCCTGAGGATTGAGTGTGCAGTGGGAGGAAGGATCTGGGAAGGATACTCAGTTTGTATTATCAAACATGTCAATAACAGAGACTGGGGAGTTAAAGGGTTAATTTCCCCCTAAATGACTGATCACCCCCTCCTGGAGGTTTCTGTTTATGGCAACATGCCCCCACTTCCTCATAATTGGGCTGTTAGAAGGGTTTGTGCTCCTTTTTTTCTTAACCAATATAGAAAGGCAGTGTAATAACCTACTTCGGAGTATGAACATTAACTTTAATTGCTCCTGCTGAACCCTGTCATCAGGAAGCAAATATTTGCCCTTCCCTGAAGGTTGGAAAAATCGTGTGTGGGGGCAGGGGAAAGAGGGAGGTGGGCGTGGCGGGTGGTGATCTTCAGTCAGTGTGGCATGGTTTGCAGGGGTACAGAATCCCCCACACTCCAGATCTCTGTCTGCATCGGCTTACTACATGCCGTACATGCACACATGGGAGCTCGTCTCATACAGTACATCTGGCACAGCTGTCCGTATTAATACACAAGTGCCCACCACCATTGTTGACCGCTTTGCGGAAGGAAGGGCAGGCGTGCTCAGGAGGTGTGCAGCCCTGCTGCTGGGCTGCCGTGGGTGGTGTTGCACTGCCGAACAGAAGTGGGAAGGTCAGGTGTACTGTACACGGGCTGTCCAGCACACTTGCATTGAACCACCAGGGATGAGACCTTTTCAGTTCCTGTCATTCCAGAGGGACGCCGTTTGTTTTCGGTGTGAAATGCGAGAGGCGCTTTGTGTTTTGCTGTGAACTCCAAACTCTTGCCTCCTGAATCGTCATGCTGCCGCAAGGTGAGGGCCACGGAGAAGGAGCTGACAGATGAGAGACAGCGGTGCAGGCAGAAACGCAATTCCAGCCACACGGGAGGTTTTTTTGTGGAGGAGGCTGAAGCTTTTCAGGGTTTTCAGATGTTGTTCCTGATGATAAGATTTATTGTCCCCCTGAGGGACACCCAGCACTCCTGTACATTTAAATAGAATGCAAAAAAAAGAAGAAAAGAAAAACATTGCTCATCATTCTATTGCATGGTTGTTGTTATTCAGCTGTGAGTAAGCGGATGGCAGATCAGACACCGAGAGCCTGTCACGTAGCAAGTGGCATTGAACCATACTGCAAGCCCGCCAGAAACGGCTATAGTCTGCCCAGTCAGAAATATGTGTTAAGTTCTTGGAAAGCAAAGTGGGAGGGCATTCAGTTTGACTTTTCCACAGTCTGATCCCAGTTCCATAATGTTGTACGCAGTCCAGATTTTTTTTTCCCCCAAAAGGGGCAGAGGGGATCATACCCTGAATCCCCCCCCCCCGTGATGCCATCGCTCAGTGTGGAGGAACCTGAGGCCCTGCCAGCCTTCCCTGGTCATGATCTCACTCGTACCTCAGCCCAGGGTGTCTGTGTCGTGCATAATGAAAAGTGTTCATGCCTCTTGAAACCTGTAATTCTGTGGGCAGCAGGGGCCTGGGAGAAAAAAGCTTTCTGAAGACTGGCCACAAATTCCGCTGACAGTACAGCTGAAAAATGTGTCCCTTTGTACAGAAGCAGCATCAGCCCTTGTGACTTTAACTCTCTGCATGCGTAACCACTTGGCATGAATGAACTTTCTTATGAATCTGGTAGACCAAACTGCACAGTAAGAAGTAGGGTTCTGCTGATTTAGTTTTTTTTTTGTGTGGCAGGAAGGGGAGGGTGAATTCTTTATTGTCCAAACAAGTATTGTTCAATTCTTGATTGTCTTCATATTGAGGATACATAAATTGCACATTCGTCATATCTGTTCCAGGTAGGCTCTTACATAAGCTAGCACCAGGTGTTGGATACCTCTGTTCTGATTTGTTCACAAATATATATATATATGGTAAGTTCACACTTACAGCTGCATCTTTATTATTACAGTACAGTAGTAATACAAAATTATACTATTATTATTAGTACTACAGAGGACTGTACTGTAATTAAACTGACATTTAAGCAAAATGTTTTGCACAAAATAATGTGTCATAGAACATCGCATAGTTGCTTTCCTAGTGCTGGCTTACTTTTCACATCACTAGACGTATTTCAGCCATGATTTAAAAGGGAATAAATAAATAATTATTCCAGACAGTGCACACGGAAGAGAAGATGCACACACTAGGCAATGTAGAAGAAGTCTGAGGCAGTTGATCGAATGCCGTGTAAATATTGAGTTACTGTAAACCCATGCACAGAAGATACACTAGGTCTGCATTATGGCAGACAGTTACAGTAACTGAAATAGGACCTTACATTTTCACAGATAGTAAAGGATGATTTTGTATTGGCTTATGGAGAAAATACCAGTTAGTAGACCATTCTGGTTATTAAAGGTTGGTTATCAAATTGTCTCTTAAGAGAACTGCTGTTACACAAGCAACACAAGGACATGAATTATCCTGCTGGAATGTTGGTGTATCCATTTAAATATGAACACATTTTCATAGCAAGCTCCTAAAAAGATTTGCATGCTAGAATTAACACTTTTACAAAGAGACCTCCATCAGTCATTTTTACCGCAGTGCACAGTTGCACTTTAGAAACCTAAAAAGGAGGCAATTAAAAAACTAGCATCTGTTTACTTGGAAATAAAGAAAGAGCTAAAACTGAAGATGGGTAAATGAAAGTGTTTTTGAAATTATATACACAGGATCTTCATTATTGTATCTGAGTAAAAAAAAAACAGCAGTCTTCAATTTGTGTTTCTGAAGCACTTGCTCACGTGTGTGTAATTTCTGCAGTTGTGCCTGTTTTTGTGTATCATTGTCGTATATATCCAGGACTGCAAATAAGGGAGAGGTGGGCTCTGAAAGTGTGTGACAGGCAGTCCTGCAACATGACACTGTGTGAGAGTGGCTGTAGTATACGGCAATAAAATGTGGGGGGGGAATTTGAGAACATACCCACCAAGGATGATAACTCATAAAAGGTCACTTTTGGGGTCTGTTTTGAGTGCATTTGAGTGCACAATAATACAATAATATAGATGAGAGACAAGGCAAGTCCCATCAGATTTAGGAATACAAAAGTGTATGCAATTCAAAACAGCACAGTAGTGGCCTCAGTCAGTGTTCCAGTGCAGGTATTCGGTGTGGTAATTGTGGGGTGCTTTTTCTCACAGGGCCGGGTGGAAGTGGAAGCGGGCAATGAGAATATGAAGTTTGAGACGGGGCCTTTCTCCTTTTATGGTGTAATGGCTCTCGGCACCACGTCCATGGGTGAGTGTGTCTGTCCCTTTCACCTGTCCGTCTTCCAGGGTCGTGCAGGAGATCCAGATACATCTTGGTTGCTACATCATGCTTGCCCAACATGTTTTTATGTGTCATCTCCAATACTTTTTGTTATTCCCACCCTATCAATCGGGATCGCCTTTTATGTGTGTCTTAACATTTCGGCTTACGGCTGCCAACCCTGTAAGCGCACACGGGAAACAGAGGAAGTGCAGGCAAGCTCCTCCCACGTGCGCACCTGTGATCCGCTCCTCTTTTGGCACGGCACAGGCTGTGCAGCCTGGTACCAGGGAATCTGCTCTGATGGGAGGAAAGGCGTGTCCCTCACTGACAGCACAGCATGCAAACTCCCAGGGGGCTGCAGGGGTCACAAAGATCCAAGGGAGCAGTGGATGGCTCTTCCCACCCTGCTCTTCATCCCCAGACAGTTTTGTGCTGCAACTGAAAGAATCATAGTCACAGCTGCCTGGCTGGCTTAAACCCTTGAGCATACAAGCTACTCTACACTAGGGCAATTTTATTGCCAAGTCTTCCTTGTATTATCACACGATGTAGTGGAAACATTCAAGAGGAGCTCGTGTTGAACGTATCCCGCCGGGCTGCACCTGAGCGTTTTAGGGGCGGCTTCACAGGATTGCTCTCGGCTCACCTTGGATCAGCGAGCGTTTTCATGGCTTGCACTTCTGAATCACAACAGGACTTAGATGTAAACAAGAAAGAGCATGTTTGAAAAGGTTTTCATGTTGCGGCGATTGCCTAAACATTTTTCTTACGGGGAAAACAGCTGCACAAAAGGTCTGAGGGATGTGTTTTTCGAAGCCCAGAAAGATAAAAGCAGGCTGGTTGAAAATGGAAGGAGGATTCATACCTTTCTTATTGCAGACCAAAGGGGAGATCAGAAACTAAACGGTTTTACAAAGGGCCCTACCTGGTTTAATCACTATGGTGGCAAGGGCCAGTTATGATCACCTTGCACGGGAAATCAATCAAGCTGTCAGTTAGTGCATTTTAATAGTGCAGCTGCATGATGGTGTGTTTTACATTTCATAAATTAGAGATGTATCTATTTAGGGATGGGCCAGCTTAGTGTAGTGGGTATATCTCCAGTCACATAACTGGTGGGTTGTGGATTCAGGTCTGTGCTGCAGGTTGTAGGAGTATGTAACTGCTGTTGTATCTTGAGTGAGATACTTTTTCACAGTTGCTTTTGTCTGCTCAGCTGTTTGAATGGGGACCAGCATGTTCTGGAAGAAGACTCTGTGACGATACTTGTGTCCCATCCAGGAGAAAAGTCACGAGCTCTCTGTTTCCTTTAATGCCATGGAAACCTGGATAAGCTCTTGATAAACTGTTGTGGCTCGAACACAATCTGCTTACCTTTTATGGCCACAGTACCAAGTATTCCAGAGGCTGTTACAGGAAGTATAGTCAGGTGATCTTTGCATTTCCAAAATTACAGGGAGCTAAAAACACAGATAAAGAAGTCCATACGGAGCAGATTGGAGAGCAGACATGCATGGAATCATGGTTACTTTGCCAAAAATCAACAGCATGGTGGTTCAGTGAGCAAAAAAACAGCCCTGATAAAAAGCAAGGAGACGGAATGATTTGATTGGCTTGGCACCAGAGCTGGTAATGGGGGTAGTCCTCCACTGGGACAAGGGTATTGTTTACCAGAAACAGGAGACAGCTGGAGGATTTGGGAATGACCCCAGAGAAAGGGACTGCAAGAGGAGAAAGCTTCAGCTGAACAGGTGGGGCTTATCCAGTCTTTTTTAAATTGCCGTTGCCTGTATGAGTTTTCATTGCAAACCCAGCAGAGATGTGGGGATAAATCCATGCAATTAACCTCCCTGCTAGCTGAGTAAGGACCGGAGTGGTCCGATAGAGGGTGAGTGAAGGAGAGCCGCCGGGCAGGAGGGAGTGATATAGGGAGGAAGACTTCTGGAGAGAAGGAAGTGGAAGGAGGGGAGAGTGAGACATGGCATTGACAAAGAGGAGAAGGGGAAACAAAGAGTGAGATGTGGAAAGAGAAGAAACTGAAATCAAATAAGAGATACAGTATTTGTAACTGCAGCACCAAGAAGGAAAGGATGCCTCGCTCTAGAGAGAATTACTGTGCTGACATCTAGTGGAAACGGCTCTGTACTTCAGCAGTGGCTGAGGTTTAAAATGGGCTGGAATTGGTTTTAAAAGTGTGGAGTGTATCAGTTCATTCACCTCCGTTCTGAACACCTGGTTCACTGGGATCTAGAGTGTTATGGGGTCTTCAGGGACAATCCATACAACACCCCAGGGCAGCTACATCAAAGCAGTACTGTCTGATTATATGGAAATCCTCTGTGTTTACTGATCTGTTTTTTTCCCCTGCATTACAGATTTTTAGGATCTCATTATAATTTTATTCAATTTAATTTTTCAGCTTCATCATTCAGGATGTATATTGTGTGTTCATATCCCATTTAGACTGAAAGAGTGTTCCTACATTATCAACCTCTGCATTCTGACTATGCCTTCTGAACCAGCTGAGTTCTTTTCCTCAGTCTGGTATCGAGCTCACAGCAGTGTGTGTGTTCCTGTCATCAGTGTGCTGTGGAGCTCAGAGCAGTGTGTGTGTTCCTGTCATCAGTGTGCTGTGGAGCTCAGAGCAGTGTG